GATCTACAGCTCTGAAGGGCTATGTTTAAGCTGGTTTATTTATGATTATTGCTCCCTTCTTTTTAATCTAGATAGAAAAGACTGCACCATCTCCTCGGTGAAGGTGAATAAGGAAAGCATTGATTTTTTTTTTTAAAGTCACAAACAAACCCAGCTAATACAAAAGTTGGAAAACAGGGGTATCATCTTTACCCAGTCAACCTCAGATGACAGAATCTTCATGGTTTTGTCTACATAAAATGGGACACAACTAGCAGAATTATTCCATGGAAAGGCAACCTCCCCTCTGGCACTACCTGGATATTTACAAAGATTCTAATTATGGAGCCTATCCAATAAAGTAAACGGAACAGCAAAAGCTGTTCTGTGTATGCTTTTAGTTTTATCGTGTTAATTGTTTTTGTGCAGTAATTGCAACATACTATGTTCGTAAAAAGAAGAAAACTGTTCAAGTGTTGATATTCTAACTGGTAAAGAGCTGTCTCTTCTCTCTCAGCCCATCATATACATTAAGGTTATAACAGGCTTTGTGTTGCTAACCTATACAAATTCAAGTCTCAAAGCAGCACTTCTCACTTGGAGCTGATTTTTTTTTTTTTGTGTCTACATTTACTGTAGCAATGTGAACTACATTTGTTTGTTGTGAGTATTCTACACTGCAGTACTGGCAGATCCTAATGTATCCCATGATACATATTTTTAATATACCGGTATACCTTCTCTCTGAATAAGGTAAAGCAAGTCTATTGTTTTGGGGAAGTGTTTTCTTTAGTACAATATTTGAGACTACAAATTTCCACAAAGTATTCTATATACAGGGGGAAAGTTACGTAAACATAGAACTACCTTTATATAAATATTTAAATGAAGCTTTTAACTGTTACTGATGAGCATGCTTAGAAATATTCTACCAATACAAGTATGGATTATTTTTCCGATTGGATAACCAAAGGGTAGCTTCCCATTGGCAGTGTACTTCTTGGCGAGCTGATGTGGTAGAGTATCATCTCCCAGCAAAGAGAGTTTGTGTGCATCCCATTCTTGCACAACTTTATTAAGATTGACCACTGAATCTGTAGATAATGCCATGAAACCCATATGTAGAGGTTGAGGCTGTTCTTCCGTGTGTTCATAAAATGCAACCAAGCACATTATTTAGCATGCTGACCAATAATTAGAGTGATTGGAGATTGTGCCAGGAAATTGCAGATGTTGGGTACTTCCAAGTCACTAACTTAATACAGTCTCTCTCCTTTCATGTTACTCCAATAGTTTTTATATACATCTGGAAGAAAAATCCCATTGACATTCTGCCCCTCTTCAAAAGGACACATTCCTAAATATTTCTTAAAAAGCCTGGCGGCGTCTTGTTAGTTACGGGAGTGGTGCAGTAGCAACCCTTCTAACTTTTGCTTTACTCTTCTGTTAGTGTTGTTGTAAGGCACTGGGAGAACTTACAACAATGTAGGCCTGGATTCTTCATCAATGTTGAATCCATTGTGATGCTGAATGATTAATTTTTATAAAGGATATTGTGCTAAAAGAATTCACCCCCTTTTCTTCCTTCCTTCAGGAAAAGATGAAGGAAAATTTCCCTTGGTGACTGGTGATGGCAGATCTTTTGTCTTCTGTTAATGTCGCCCTCACAATTAAAATATTAATTACCCTGTAAATGCATTAAACCTTAGTTAGACTAAGGCCCCCTCTCTGACAGGGCTGAATCAGTTAAGCCAAGGTAGCACATTAGACTTGTATTCCTTTGCTGATTGCTGCTCATCTTTCTTTACCATATTGCTATCATATAGCAAAGTACAATGGGTGACCATTTAAAAAAGAAAAGTTACTATTAGAGGGCAGTTAACTCCTGGGCTATGTCTACACTGGCGCAATCTTGTGCCAGTTATGCAAATGAGGCTAACTGTGGAATATCGCCGAGCCTCATTTGCATATCTAATGAGCCGCCATTTTGCGGAAGAGGCTCTTGCGCCAGAAGGAGTGTCTACGCTGCCCCTTCTTGCTCAAGAAAAACTCTCTTGTGCAATGCTGTTATTCCTGATAATAATCAGTGTGGCGGCATTGCGCAAGAGGGTTTTTCTTGTGCAAGAAGGGGCAGTGTAGACAGCTCCTTCTGGCGCAAGAGCCTCTTCCGCAAAATGGCGGCTCATTAGATATGCAGGTGAGGGAAGGGCAGGTTTTCCCTGATTAGGGAAACAAGTGTGGTAACCACTAGCAAATGTTGAGATTCTGAAGGCAAGCACCATACATGTGCCTATAACTCCTCTTCTGTCAACACATGGCATCTCAAGGGCCACACCTACACATGCTTGTTTGTCTTCAAAATCTTTAGTATGCTCTAATTTTTTGAGTACCTTTTAGCAACTATTACAGAAGCTTAGGGTGAAACTGGCCTTTGTGCAGGAGACCAGCACCAGATCAAAGCACTGTTTTGGGCACTTAAGGCTCACTAAATGATGCAGAGGCCTTGACCTGATCTTCTGCAGGCATTAATTTGATTCCTGGATGTACAAGGCCTCCCCTTGCTTAAGCCTGACCATGGGATATGAGGAGCGGAAGATCTAGTGGCTAGACGGGAAAGCTTTTACATCCCTTGTGTGCATCTCTGCAGGATGTCTGCCTATCCTAGAGCAACGGGTCTGGCATGGGCTGAAAGCCATGCACATGGTATATACACATACTACAGCATCCCTGACAGCCCATTATATAGCTGCCACAGGGTAGCTGCTTTGCTTGCCTGAAGCTAATAAGGGCAGAGATCATGGAACAAATAACATTTGAAATACAACAATGAACCTATCTGATGCTGTCTCCATATTCTGTTCAAATGGATGCTGCTACATCCCTTAAATGATTGGGGCTTAAATCATATGGAACCATTTTCCTTCTATTTCTATCTTTTATAGATCATAATTTGTACACAATGGTTGTAGAGAAGTGCTTATTATGCACTGATAAAATGATTTGTCTAGTAAAGTGGTCTACTGAAATATGGAATACTTTGCATTATAACATTAATTGTAGCGGAATTTGCATGTATGTGACATCTGTGATGATACATGCTCATGGTCCTCTTCTCTCCTCCCCCCCCCCCCTTTCCTCTACTACATCAAGTTCCAGTGTGACTGCATAATTCAGAAAGGTTTCTCTCGTCTTGGTCTGTGTCAGCGGCTGCTTTAAAAATCACACCATAGCACCTAGTTTGGGAACCCAGTAAATATAGAGTCCACTTCTTGGAAGGAAAATATATAACATTGGACCTTTTTGTTACTGTTTGAACTAAGATTCGTACTTAAGTTGAAAGCATTGCTGACATTTCAGAGAAGGTAGACAATATTTTTGTACTGTATCTTATAAAATGCCCACTCATGTCTACACTGTTTTACTTTACAGTGTAATGTATTTTAAGTGACTAGTTTCCCAATAAACAGTAATTTGGATGTCTAGTTGAATATTGTCTTCAATTATGAGAAATATGTAATATTATGTTTTATACCATGAAGCTGAGCATATGTTTACATTTGTAATATTTACAGATGTTGGGGAGAGGTGATCGTGCAAGTTAGCAAAACTGCAAGATATGTGCTTAAAATAAAAGGAAGCGTTAGTGCATCTTTCTGTCCCAACACTCAGTGCATATCACCTACCCAAACCTTTTTGTCTGGAATCTATACTGCTTAGTTTTTCATGTGCCTTTTTCCTATCCTCTTGCTAACACGAGTCCAATGACATACTTCTAACCTGCTAATAGTTCTTTGAAGGTAAGATATCTTGTATTCTGATAACTGTTTGTGTGATTCATGAAGCAAAAACAAGCCAACTCTTTGGGCTTCGGTAACTAGAGAACAGCAGGGTTGTATGCCTCCACTTCTCCCATAATTTGTTAACTCCTAGAACTAAGCTATTCAATTAGGCTTATGTTAGATATTTCACTTGTAATCGTTGTACAGGGTAGTTTAAATTTAATTGAGTGTTTGTTTTGCAATGGCTCAAGTACCTTTGTGAAAATTACCAGATTTAATTTTAAAAAAATTCTGTAGGATACCTTGCTAAAGGAAACATTTATTTCTTTGAAAACACACATTACTTGCACAGTAAGAGATGTCAGAAGGCACATTAAATACACCCACAGTGCAAGGCCGCTTTTCTGTAAGCTAGTTCTCAGAAATAAACAAGTGAACTTAAAAGATGCCAAACAATATACAGTGGAACCCCTATTTGATGAACGAATTGGAAATTGAAAGACTGATAAAATCAAAGACTTCATGAAACTGAAGGTCTCAACTTTTGCAGAAGTTGCATTGAAGTGCACCATGTTGCTATTTTTTTCTCTTGTTCAAGGCACTGCAAAGTGATTTGCAATGCACTGAACACATCAGAATGGGGATGATGTCAACTTATTCTTCATTGACATCTTTTGGGTTTTTCTCCCCCTCTCTGTGGGGAGAGATGTCTCATAGAAGAGGTCATCTGTAAGATTGGTATCTGTAAAATCAAGGTTCTTCTATGCTGCTATTTGCATGTTGGGGGCTGTTGTGTCAATAGGCAGTATTGATTAAAATGACATTGCTATTGAGAACTGTCCATCCACTGGTATTTCACTCCAGACAGCAACTCTCTGAAATGTAAACGACATGGGATGTGGTTCTTGTGGGTGACCTAGGAAAGATCCTTGTAGAACAGTGTCAGGAGGGAATGTTGAATTGGAACATCTCTGTATCTAACATCTTCCATCTCTCTCTTTTTTTTTCTTTTTTTTTAACATGTACTTGTGGTGTTTTGAATTGTGAGGAAGTGCTGAGTTTTGTTTCAGTGAGTTGTGTGCCATGAAAAACTTGCTTGATCTTTTATTTTGTTTTCTCATTTCCCATGTATGGCAACTTGGATCTGTACATCATAACATTTCTGATGTGATTAAGCTTCCTTTGCATTTATGACTAAGCGGATCTAGCCCCTTGAGTAATGCCCTTGTTTTGTACTTCTAGGTTTGCAGAGGGAACAAGCTGCATATCCTGTTGCAACCAGTGAGCACAAGAAGTTACCTGGTGCTAGCGATGGACTTCCTCAGTACAAAAGCCAGCCTGAGATGTTTGAAGTGAAAACTCAGCACAATTCAGAATCTGATTACTTTGCGAGAGAGGAGCCTTCAAGCAACAGTTCCTCCCACAGCAGTGAGGGAGAGGGGACTGACCATGAGGTAGACATCTTGGATTGTAGTGGGTCCAGGCCTTTACTTATGGACTCAGAAGAAGAGGAGGAGTCCAGTAAGCTGCAATCCAGGCTAAAGGAAAGATTTGTGGCTTCCAAAGATTCCAAGCCCCAGCCTTCCCAGAGTGAGATGGGGAAAGTTTTGTTTACAGCCTTTCAGCAGTCCTCGGGAGAGATTTTCAATGAGCCAGATGTCTTTGCCACGGCTCCTTTCCGAAGCTCAAGAATAGTGCAGGAGGATTTGGACATCTTTACCAAAGCTCCCTTTGCTGCCAAAAGCAATGTGCCTTTCAGGCAGCCAGAAGAGGCAGATGTATTCCTGTGCGCTCCCTTCACTAAAAAGAGAAGCGTGGAAGAGTTGACTTCTCATAACATTTCTAAGGAGCCTCACACTCCAGCCTCTTTCCTAGGTCAAACTGGTGATGTCCAACATGTTGTTAACTCCAAGTTCCAAAACTTAGATGCGGGAACATGCGGATTGTCCATCTCATCTAGCGCTCAGTACTCCAGGGTAGGGTTTATTCAGCCAACCGAGCTTCTGCCTCATTCCATTAGACCAGTGGAGACCCAAGAAGGCATTCCTCTCAAAGAGCATGCTGGCATTCCTAATCATAGAAACCAAGGACATACACTCCCCCCTGAAGCCCACTTGGGTTCAGTGGTTAGTAAGCCTTTCCGTCCACAATCTCTCTCAAAATATTCCCGTCACTACAGCCCGGAAGATGGGCAGGGTATAGAAGTCCAACCCATAGCAGCATATAAAGTTGTTTCTCAGACCAACAAACAGGCTATAGCAGGATCTGTCTCTATTGCTTCTCTGTCTTCCAGGACTAAAGAGCTACCCGGCATCGACCCATTTGCTTCGGCACCCTTTCCTTCCAAATCAGGAAAGCAAAAGCCTTAACCAGCCTGCTGAGAGATGGGGGAGCTGCATCTCTCGTAGGATCTTCAGGCTCTTAGTTGAAATGAGCAATGTAGAGATTTTTTTTCATTGTTCAAAACTCCAGTTGCAGTGATATTTAGTTGAACCATTTTAAGTTATGTTAGATAGTTTCAGGATATTAAATGCCAGGCGCTCAAGTTTTGTTTTGTTTTTGTTTTGTTCTTCACTTTTTTAGTTGCTATTTTTCCCCATTATGTTTTAGATTATCTAAACCAGTAATGTTCCATACTTCCTGACTTCAGGGGGTAAAGTGAATTACCACTGATACTAGTTAGAAAGCCAGAGTAAATCAATCAGGACAAGCTAATGCTCTGGAGAAGAAATGAGTGTGAAGTAAAAAGGTTGTCCTGACTTTTTCTTACCAAGGGGGATTCTGGAAGAGACCAAAGTACAACACTCCCAACTGTTAATCCATGTCTTCACAAACCCCAGCAGCTATAGATTGGGAATTTGACGATAAACTGCGTGTGTGGATATAGATCATATGCACACGGGGGGGCAGAGTGTGAAACTAACACATCTGCCACAAGGTTTTTGCACCCCAGAAGTCCTTTTCAAATATAGCATAGGCCTTGTGCATAGGCGATTTTTTTCTCATGGCAGGTATAATACCTGAAAATGTATATATTTCTGCGGGCCAGATCCAAAAGCTGTTGAACTCAGTGGAAAGACACCCATTGCATTCAATGAACTTTGGATCAGCTCTTTGAGATCGGATACATATGGATGGAAGTATCAGCAAAGCAAACTTTCAGAAACATTCTTCCTGGAATATTTTTCTATCCTCCAGATATACCATGATCCTACTGTGTTACTGAGGCAGAGGACAGTTGCTTACTATTTATAATATAATTTAAAATGCTAGTGTATCACTTGAGTTTAGAGGAAAATATAGCTGCTTCCTGTCGAAATTATTTGCGATATTTGTTATGTTACTATTGGTGGCTGAGCAGAATAGAGCTGACCTCCTTAGGAATTACTAGTTCCATCCCCCACCCTCTGCCGTCTTTTCAAAAAGGAAGGAAAAAGGCAAGTAACATGAATTAAGGATTCATATTTAATGGGAAGTACCAGGCAGCAAAACGGTCCCTATCAAACCTGTTGTTTTTCAAACTATTTCACACCAGAAAACCATGGTAAATGTCAGACCATTTAATAAATGACCCAGAGTTTTGCACTGAAAACAAAAGGAAAATTCTGCCTTTGGTTATGTTTGCTACATCTCCTTGAATTCTCTGGGCTTGCACAAGAGAATTCATCCTTGATGTTTTAAAAGCTTGTAAATAGATAGTGTGGAACTGGTCTGAGGCACTGCCATCTTACAAGATGAACACACGCACCTAGAAACCATTAGCTTTATTGAACAGTATGTAGTGGGGGTTCTCCCCTGTCGCTCGTGTCAATTGGGGAGTAACTTGTACATCCAGTGGCGTCTCATGGGTATAAAGCTGGTGTAACAGAGAGTAGAATTGGACACACGACTTTCCTCATGGGAAACTGCTTTGCAAAAATTCAGTTTATAATTTTGAGCTGCAAGATGCTCACATAACTGTTCAAAGAACATAAAAGGCACATTTGAAACTACAGTGTAGAACCCTGGAGATCTTTGCTCTGCAAAGCAAAACTTGTCCTCCTAGGACTCACTGTTAACATCACCGCAAGGGAGGAAGAACTAAAACAAACCTATCTTCCACCAAGTGGGACAGGACTATGAAACTTCCATAGCAAGATGTGATTCACTAACTCCACTCTTCCTCTTTCTTTGCTCAGCCCATATTGCAGTCAGAATGACAGGAGCCACATTTAGCTGGAGAGCTGGTATAGATCTGACTGTAGTGGGGTTGTATGAATGTAACCAAGAGTAAAGAACTAGACCTGAGCAGGAGCACAGGTTGCTGGTGGTTAATGTCATGGTTAGCCTAGCTCAGATTAGAGCCGCTTTTTGAAAAGCCGGGCTACTTCCTGCTTCTGTGTCTGTTGGACTTCAGGTTAGATTTTGTTGCTGTGTGGTGGCAGAGTGGACCCTGTCAGCCATCCTAGGAAATGGAAGTTCTGTAGACACGTTTCTGAGTTTCTCTGAAATAGCTTTCTCCCACCTGAGGATATGGTTTGTATGTGGGTGGTTTGCTTGGTTGTTTTTAAAGTCGCAATCCCCTGTTTATGGTCACTTGTGGTACCTGGAGACATAACTTAGCCCTAAACTGTTATCTTCACTTGGAGAGGGAAGGAAGAAAACTAGATTGCATGGGACTGAATCTGGTGCAAATGAAGAATCAGTCCATGGAAGTAAATAGTTATACCAGTATACATAAGGTGAGAACTGGATGCATTACCTCTGATAACTGCATTCCCAAACCTAGGTTCTCTTTTTTTTTTTTTTTTTTTAAATGGGGTGTCATTTTTTTACTTGAAAAGTTACTACAGAGGTCTGTGGTTCTACTGTCTGTTACTTGGAATGCTTGACTTTTTATTTTCTGAAAAATACTGCTGGAAAAGTATTAGCAAATCCTTCTTTGCACTCCTGCTAGGATCCCAGCTCCTCTCTCACCAGTTGGTGTCTGTAATGAAGGCCTGAACTACAGGTAATTCAGGAAGTCCTCTCCCCAGCTGTCCTACACTGCCAGGCAGGGTACAAAGGGAGAATGGGAAATGTACAGTAGTTTTGATAGCCCTGAGTATTTTCCTCAGTTTCTTTATTTAGGTTTGTTATGGATTGAATTTCCCAGGCAGGATGTTGGCAGCTGACATCTCATTTCTCAAGCACTTTTTTATGAAAAGCAAGTTAAAATTGTGCACAAAAAACTAGCAACCCTGCTAGCAATCCAAATAAGTAATTAGTTCAATACTGTACGGGAGCACTCTGTTCAAATAAGTTTATTTTGCTTATTGTACCAACTACTGGAATTTTGGTTAAGAAAATTCTGAAAATTGCATCTATTAAGCTATTAATCTGATTTTGTTCTAGATGAACTCATCTCCCCCTCTTCCCTCACCTCCTAGATGCCAGCATGACAACTTGAATCTAATCAATTAAAAATGCAGTTGTGCTCTCCCTGCATCATCTAAAGTGCACTGTTTTTAATGCACAAGGCAAAATGTAAGATGGAGCTTCAGGATTTTTTAGCATCCCTGATTTCATAAAGCTTTGACTTTACTGCTCACACAACAGAGCTATACAATCTAAATGCAACACTGTCAATCCCTTTTCTGAATATATGCACATTTAAAAAAAGTTTTATTACATTTCTATTTCTGCCACTTCCCAGCAGCCAGTAAAATTGCAGCAATCGGTTTCAGTTTTGGCTCTGGCCAAAAATGTTAAGTCCCTTTTTAAAAGCAACCATGACTCCTTGAACTTCAAGAGGTGTAGGCTCCTAAATACTTTTGAAAATAGTGTCCCTTAAGGTCTTGCAATTGGATCCATGCAGACCATGCCAGTGTGGAATTGCATCAAGGTCACTGGTGCAGTAACTCCTACACAAAACAGGGTTTGGTGAACTTCCTAGTTGGACGTAAGCAATCAACAGCACATGGAGTTATCTCTAAGCTCTGCAACTCAGTGGCTGTCACTATCTGATGGTCTTTGAAGGAGGAGAAAACTCCCTTCATGATAGCAGCAGGATGAGGGAAAGTCTTCCTCCGATTCTCCTTCCCTCTCCCCCCCCCACCTTGACATTAAACACCCTACAAGTGTCATACCACAGATCTGACCTGGTTTCTCCTGGTTGTCACCCCACCTCTCCCTCTTCCCAAGTGGACTCATGCACAGAAAGAAACTCAAATCTCATTTCTGCTGTGTAGACAAATACCAAAGAGTCCTGTGGCCATCTTAAGCTTCTGTAATTCTCAACTGAGGATGTGGTGGCTTCGGTTTCAAGCTTGCTGCTAATTTAAATGTTTGGTTAAAACCTTTCCTTTGGAAAGGATTAATCAGAACAACTGTGCACACAAATTCAAGCCAGGCAATCAGCTCACTTTGAGTCTCTAGCTCCCCTTGTGTTTCTACAATGATGACAAGGGATGCCAGCTGCTTTCGTATTAGTCTGCATCTTCTTTGTCTTACTGCTGAATTGCCAAACTCGTAACTGCATCTGCTCTCCCTCCCAGCCAGCTCAGTACTATGTGTGATAAGTGTTGAGTTTACAATCTTATTCTCCTGAAGCCAGTGTGCAATCAATCTGCAATCTACAGTATGTGCATGGAGCACAAAGAAGATCCTAAACTTGCAAGAAACTCATGTAACCAATCTCAAAACACTGTAGTGGGGCAGGTTTGCAGCTTCATTTAATACTGCAAGTGATACTGAGTGGACTCTGTATAACTGTGTGACTTGCAATCGCTCCAAAGTGGTAATCAGTTAAATTAACTCCGCTTCCACCAAAGACTGTCACGTTGGAGAATTGGTTATTGTTTTGGGGTTTTAATGGTATTAAATCAAGGCCTTGTTAAGACACCCAAAGACTCCATAGTATTTTATTATAGGTATTTTTGCCGTGTAATCTTATTCCTCTTTTGAAACACATTCCTGAATTATGATCAGCTACGGTGATGGTCTCGCTAAACCATAGCCTGGGGGTTTTATGCTGTGTACTATAAATACTCTGTTACAATGAATCTAGACTTGCCACCTGTGAAACTGGAGAGGTAATCACTGATTATTCCCTCTCCTCTCAAAAAAACAAAAGAAACTAGGAAAAGGGATTAGTAATCTTATGCAGATGTAGGGAGGACAAGTTTATGTTCTAGATGAGAGAGCCTGATGAAGAATTAGCCGATGGAGCTGAATGGAACAGATTCCACTAAGCATTGAGTAAGATGGTGAAAGGTGCTCTGAATGTCACATTCAGAAAAACAGCGGAGTCTTTCTTACAGAACAGCCTGAGCTGGACATATCGGCTACCTGGGAATACAATCTCTGTGTGCAACTTTAGGTTGTGTATTGCAAGACCAGAGCGTCATTCAAATCCCATTGTTATGAGAGTGAAATCACAATGGTGTTGGAAATACTTTTGGCTTGCAGAGTATCAATCATATTGCACTTCAGGTGTGATTCAGCATGTTTCTGATAATCTTGATGAAGAAATGTGAGAGCTAAAAACTTCTGTACATTTTTATTAAACTCTGAATAAAATGCACCTTCCCTGCTCTGTGTTCTGTCTTGTTCATATGAAATCTTTACTGGGCTGAATATAAAGCTTTTTTTTTTTTACAATCTTGGTCATCTCTCTGGTGTTTAAAGGAAACTTTCTTGGTGGTTGAATTTCTGCATACCCAGGTGAATCGTGGTGCAAAACAGCCATGGTCCTACATATCCCTAGAGGACCGGATTCTAGGTTTTGGACCAGGAAATTCAAACTCTGTAGGGTTACACAATGCAAGCCACATGTTATTTTAAAGGGCTCTTGATTTGCCTAACCCAGGGCTGCATAAATAATACACAGGCACACAGAGTACAGGATTTAGCTAATCTGCACTCATGTGATGGAACCCAGGCCTTCATTGCCAAAGCACAGCTTCTTACAACCCAAAAGGTACAAAACTTTCCTTTCCCTGGAAATAGAGCTTTTTACCTTTGCTCCGCTGCTGCTGCCTGGCAACTAACACCCACAAAGGTATACCTGCTAGGGTGCGTCTAGACTGGCATGATTTTGCGGAAATACTTTTAACAGAAATTTTAGCCATTGGGGCTTTTTTACGCAAAACAGTTCTTCCCTGTTTACACTGGCCCTCTTGCGCAAGAGGGCCAGTGTAAACAGGGAAGAACTGTTTTGCGTAAAAAAGCCCCAATGGCTAAAATTTCTGTTAAAAGTATTTCCGCAAAATCATGCCAGTCTAGACGCAGCCCTAGTGTGTGACACTGAGCCTACAGAACGAAAGTGCAGACAGAAGAGCAGTGTGGGCTGTAAGGAAAACTCTACCACCATACCTATGTCTCTTTCAGGCCCATTCCTCAAGGCAGTTATTGAATTCAAATAGCGACCTTGCAAAGGAACATACAACAAAGCTGTTCTCCTGATTGCAGGGATGCAAAAACCATTGTTTCTCCAGGGCCAAGCTCTCAAACCATCCCCCTCTCCTGCAGTCCCCTTCGCTTTTTCAGCCACTCTCAGGCTTTTATAATTACTCCATCCATTTCCTGATGTGTCTGATCATTGAGATGGGGGGCCTGGCCCCTGGAGGAGCAGACCAACTTGTTACAAGGAGGCTTCAGTCAAGCTTACTGGGAGGACTTCACGTGGCTTGCTTTGTTTAGAGTTATTAATAAGGAATGAAAGTAATGGTGCTACCAGATTTGTCCATCAGCCTAGGGTATGCTAGTTTATTAGGGTTACTTTTATGGCGTATCAATGTGCAGCTTATGCTACTTGTGCTCTCATATGGAGCTGAATTCTCCTGGCTACCAATTCCCCCTCCCCACACGAGCTCTCCTGCAGGAACTATGTTCCTCAGGTCAGGGTTCTTCCTACCTTAGCAACACATGGATACTCACACCCACTAAAAGCATGTCTGAGAGGACTGGTTCATCTGCACTTATATATACCTGGCTCAGCAGGCTGGTTTAACAGCAATGCCACACTGAACTCTCATGTGCCTATGTACTCAGTGGGCTGGATTTAACAGCACTTTAAGCTGCCGTCCTCATATACCCCCAGCTTCAGCACTTCCCTATCCCCACTTGCACATCTCGGTCATTCTGTTGGAAAACTATGTGATGAGCACACCCTGTGGGATTTTTGGGCACTACGGGGATCTTTTAGCTTAGGCACAGGAAGCATTGTTGCAGAGTGAATGGGGAAGCCAAAACAACACCGCTGAGGAAGAGTGAGCAAGAGAAAGTGAGAGAAGCAACCAGCTTAACAATGAAAGTTATTGATATTTTTGGGGGGAGGGAATAGCATCAAACACCCAAAACAGTTACAATATTAAATCTAAATTGAAACTGATTACAAATGTTAGGGCTAGCAAATCATAGAACTGATTACATAAGGCAGAGTCAGACGTGGGGTGGGGGAAGAGATCTCACCACTCTGTGGAGCTTGCAGTGATCGGGTTTCCCAAATTGTGATGGTAGCCAGGGATCCACAGGCCAGGAGATAAGCAGAGCAAAGCCCCCAGCATGATCAGGCAGGAGATGAGGAAGTGTTAATGGAACTGATGCAGAGTTTACATCCAGACATCAGAACAATTGGTCTTGAGCAAGGGTAGGCGGTTTTTGTAGGGACAGGACAATGGCTCAAGGAGGACACTGGATTTGTTTATGCGTAAACAGAGGGGAGACAATAGAGACTGATCATGCCTGACTGTGGGTGATGTTCCTTGATAGAACTCACAATGCAACTAGGCAGTTTCAGTATTTTGGATATCAATAGGCTCCATTACTGGAATTGGTCTGAGGAAGACTAAATTTGGGGGTGAGCAGCATCTGGAGCAGAGATTTCCCATCAGGCAGTACTTCTCTGCTTTCGGTATCCCATAGTTCAGTGTGGTTCTTGCTTTGGAAGAGCTGGTCTGTACTCTGCATGCTAATGGAGATTTCTCTCTGTTCTATCTTCAATGCAGATGAGGCTGGGGTGTTTCCTTAATCCTATCACCCTTGTCTTGAGGGGTGAAGGTGTGTCTTCCCCTGTCTTTTCATTGCTTTGTCTTTGATTCAAGGACAGGCCTGGGGGAGGGGAATGTTTTCCCTGATTGTCACTCCCTGGTTCCCCAAGAACACAGAGCTGGTAGGTAACAATGGGCAAATGGAACTCTCTCCCTTGAAAGAAAGTCTGATGGGCAAAACATATTGGGTGCGTCTAGACTGGCAAGATTTTGCGCAAAAGCGGCCTCTTTTGCGCAAAAACTTGACAGCTGTTTACACTGGCCGCTTGAATTTGCGCAAGAGCACTGACTTTGTAATGTACAAAATCAGTGCTGCTTGCACAAATACTTTCACGCTCACACTCAGGAAAAATCCCTCTTGTGCAAGAAGACTTGCGCAAGAGGGCCAGTGTAGACAGAGAAGAACTGTTTTGCGTAAAATAGCCCCGACGGCTAAAATGGCAATCGGGGCTTTCTTGCGCAAATCGCGTCTAGACTGGCCACGGATGCTTTTGCACAAAAGCACGTTTTGCGCAAAAGCATCTTTGCCAATTTAGACGCGCTTTTGCAGAAATCCTTTTAACGGAAAAACTTTTCAGTTAAAAGTATTTCCGCAAAATCATGCCAGTCTGGATGCAGCCATTGATTTTTATGCCACTGAATTGCTGCTTTCTTCTCAACAATCTGAAATTGGAAAAACAGATGTGACCAACCTCACTCTAACTGCTATTCAGTTCTCATGTGGCAGTGATACGGTATCTTTATAGGAGGCCAAGTTTTAGGGTAATTCCCTTTGAATTAATCACAGGTTTATAGAATACTAGCTGGAGTCACCCAGCGTTGCTCAGGAAACCAGAGGAACAAAATGTAGAAAAACAGTAGTCCATTATCTTTTTTGAATGGTAGAAAATTTGCATTGATTTCTATAGGGATTAAAATATAGGTCCACATCAGCCCGGAGGTGCGACCGTGGGTGGAAGGGAGGTTACACGTGCGAGGGGCGCCCCAGCTTGCACCCGGGGCTGCGGGAGCTGGGGGAGGGAGGGAGGGGAGGGTTGGGGAACTGCCTGCTGGCTCAAAGGTGGGGAGGGGGAACAAGGGTCGCTTACGTAACCTCGCAGGCAGGAAGGGGCAAGTCCTGGATGGTGCTGGGAGCCGCAGGCGGCGGGCACAGGACCTAGGGTGGGTGGGGCAGCGCCTGCAGCACAGCCCAGCATTGAGCTCGGGCCTGCTCGGGTCCAAAAGTACCTTGAAACCTTCTTCTGGATGAAAGGTTCTCCCATGCAAAGTTTGGTTGCAGTAGCTCTTGTAGTGTCCAAGCTGTTAGTGCACAAACTTACATTCTCTTTTATACATTAGATGTGCTGATCTTGGTGAGATTATTTAGGATTCAAATGCTCCCCCTGAATGACTTTCTTCCTTATTCAGCAGCATAGCTGTACACCATGCTTCCCAGTAGGTGACATCTGCACAGCAGAGAACCTCTGTGTCAAAGGCTGTGTAATGTAAATGAATGAGTTAGTGCAATACAGTATTTTCAGACCAAATAAGTCTCTAGCAAACTAGCTGGAAGAGAGTCTAGTTAGCCAAATTCTTCATCAGATTTGTGCAACACTTCTATTCAGATGAGCTACCTGCCCCTTTGTAATCTGAGCAGTTAGCCAAAATTCAGAGCCCTGCAGATTGTTTCCATTAGGAGAAGAAATTAATGACGGAATCCGGTAACTCTGTGTTTCTGTTTATTTACAAAGAGTGTACAAAGTTCTGTTCGCCAGAACTCAAAAGGAATCAAACAGTGGGAGGCAGTTTCTTCACTAGTAGAGCCAATCCTCTTTCAGCCAGCACTCAGCCCAAAAATCCTCTCTGTCACTGTTTGTGTAGGCCTATGCTTCCTTGCTGCCTTCCTGCAGGCGTCTTTCGGAATAAGCTTTTTTTGGAAGAGATCTTCCAGAAAACCTTCCTCCAAAAGAGTGTCCACATTGAAAAAGCAATCTTCTTTTTTGAAAGATAGCGTCCATTCAGTGTGGACGCTATCTCACATTTCAGCTGTGATTACTTTGGACAGAGTGGCCACCTGGGCATCTGTGTTTTTTTCTTTTTCCTCTTCTTTCAAAAGAACTCCCTCTTTCCCATCCACACATGCCTTTTTCTGAAAGAGCTCTTTCAGAAAAAAGGCTTCTTCCTTGTAGAATGAGGATTGCTAATGTTGGAAAAAACCCTCTGTTCTTTTGATTTTATTTCAGAAGAACACGATTGCAGTGGGGACGTAATTGAAGTTTTTTGGAAAAATTACAATTTTTTCTGAAAAAAACCCTCTGTAGTGTAGACATACCCAAAGTCTCTGTTCTTTCTGCGGTTTCATGCACACAGCTCTTCACAGAACAAGCAAGCCCCAAACACCTTGGTGTTGACAGCTGTTGTCATTTTTCTTAGACGGGAGGTCTGTGCTGGTGGGCAAAGATTGTATTTTTGATTGTGGAGCTCAATGGGAGTGAGTTCTGCACTGCATATGCTCAGGCAGGTAACTGTTTTTATCTGTGTTTAAGTGATGACTCTGAAATACAGAGGTGAAGAACTGCACTTTTTACAATGGCTGCTGATCATATTGAGACAAAATATGTTGTCAAGCACAAGGGCTAGATCTCTCAAACCAACACTGCATTTGACCTCCCCTCAGCACAGCAGGACCCCTGTTCCTAGTTAGGTTCTGTGGCTAGTATTGTAACAGAAATAATGAATACCCTGGTCAGCACGAGTTGGGATTTGGTTCTTTCAAAGCCTAAGATTGTGGGAGGATGGGACTACCTAAATTCACAGTTTTAATTACAAAATACAGTAAATTTCAAACTCTCACCTCACCAGGGCTGGCAAAGTATAAAGTAAAAAAGAAAAACTAGAAGGCAAATAAAAGCAGCTGCATAGTATTTTTGTATTTTTTTGAAATCTCACTATTTTTCAGTTCCAACATTTTTATTTGGGGGGGCAAAGGGCTGGATTTTGAACACTTAATGTTGGAAATATTGCAAATAACAGTTTTGCACCCTGAACAGTAAAGGTTTTGTTCCAAGCTGTTACCTCAGCATATACAATCCTGCTAGTTTGTGACAGGCGGAGGTCTCGCAACACGTAGGTAGCTTGGTGCTGCCTGTGGGGGTGGGCAGAGGTCGGGTTTTTGCAGAGGGTATGGGGGGAGGGTGTGCCATTTCAGAGCTGCAAGTAAAAGCGGCATGAGCCTGAGGCCATGCAGCAGCACAAGGAAGGCCAGGGCAGGTCCCAGGGGCACTGTGGGGCCCCTCACCCCAGGACTCCATGGCCTGCTGGGGTCTCTTCCGACCCTGCTCTATGCAATGGGCTGGACCGATGCGGCTCCCCCAGGCCCCTGCCCCAAATCCCATCCCCGTCTCCGCCGCTAGGGCGGGCCACGCGCCCCGGGTCCCCAGCGCAGCGCTCGCTGCACTTCCCCGCCGCGGCCACGAGGGGCCGCCCCAGCGCCTGCGCCTCCTTCCCAAACCAGGCGCCTGCGCAGGCAGCCCCGCGACTGGGGGGGGTTCTCAGCCTCCGTCGCTGCGGGGCATCCAAGATGGCGGCGGGCCGCTGGCTGCGAGCGGCGGCGGGGCTGAGCGGCCGGTAGGTGACCCCGGCCCAGGCGCGCGCTCGCCTCAGCGAAGCCCCGCCCTGTGGGGCGGCGAGCTCCTCTTCCCGGGGGGGGGGCACGTGTTACCCCCCCCGCGGGCACGGGGGGGCAGATTAACTCCCCTCACTCCCCCTCCCCAGGTCGCGCAGGGGGCGGGGTTAAAGTCCCCTCCCCCGCAGGCTGGGCACGGGGGGCGTCAGGGATTAACCCCCCAGGCCGGGTGGGGGCTGACCCCGCTCTCCCCCGGGGGGGGGGTTGGGAGTTAACCCCCCCCCCCCCGTGCAGCGCGCAGGCGGGAGACTCGCTCGCCCCAAGGGCTCCTCTGGCCTCACGAGCAAATTCCTGCGAGCTGCCCCGCCTGCCACGAGGCGCTTTGTTCTTTGTACCTCCTGGTGCTGAGGAGCCTGGGGGGCCGGGACCCTGCGGTGCGAGGCGAGGTGCCCTTGTCTGCTGGGTGGGGGAGGGACATGGGGCTCGGTTCTCTTGTCAGTTCCTCCAGCACAGGCAGAGAGGAAGGATGCATCGGGGAGGAAGGTGAAACCATAAGCAGCTGGATGTAGTTGTCTACTCACCCGACTTTGTGCTTGTGAGCCATGAGCATTGCTAAAACTGGGGGCGGTTGCCACCCACCCTTAATATTAAATCCTAAAGTACCTTAAAGACATCTGGGATTCCCTCATCATTCATGCCCTTCCCCATTGTATGGGGAAAGGGATGCAACAGGTCACCTTATGCTTCCGACCTTGGGCTATGTCTACACTGCAGGCTTTTTGCACAAGAACATATGTTCTGTGTGCGTGTTCTTGCACAAGTAAATTTACAGTAAAGCATCAGAAAATAGGGCTTCTTGTGCAAGTGTTATTCCTCTCCCCATGAAGAATAAACTCTCTTGTGCAAGAGCAATTGCTCAAGAAGGCAGTGTGGATGGGCAACAGGGTTTTTTTTTTGCTCAAGAAACCCCTATGAATAAACTGGCCATCAGAGCTTTCTTGTGCAAGAGAGCATCCGCACTGCCATGGACGCTCTTGCACTAAAGCACATGGCACTGTGAATGCGCTCTTGCGCAAGAATTTTTGGGCAGAAACTCCTGCACAAAATAGTTCGTGCGCAAAAAGCCTGCAGTGAAAACGTAGCTGTGATGTATAGTGCTCTGTTTGAGTGAGACACCTAATGAGAATGAACTGTGGGCTGCTGCACTAAGCACTGGGTTTATACGTTCCCAAGTGAACTATCCCAGAAATCTGAATAGGCAGCAACTTCTACATTTCTGCAATAAGAAAAGTTTTAAAAGGACTGTTACACTCACATTTCTCCCAATTGCTTACATTTTGTATTCAAATGTCTGCAACGACTGTTAAGATTCTGAAAGCAAAATTGACTATAAATGTGGGACTAATTTCATTATTTTCATTGTCTAAACCAGTAGGGAGTGAAGCAAAGACTAAGCTGTATAAAGAAATATAGATTAGATCTTAAAATATTTTTGCTGTCATTATTGAACGTGTTTATTAGTAACAATAAACATGACTATCAATATAGATAAGTATGACATTGCAGATCATTGGAAGTTAGAAGTCTTAGCTTAGATTTTCAAATTATGGATATTTTCATTAAGGATATTAAGATGCAGATGATTCATGTAGTAAATACAATTTGTATCAACTACAATCCATGATTAGTCATAAGGGAAGGCACTCTGTCCCACCTTGCGCCAGGTCCAGGAGCTACCCCCTGCAGTTTAAATGTACTAGGAGCTGGCTGCAAACACAGGCACCCCACTGGAACCTCACCACGAACAGAGGCTGCTTCATAGACTGTAGAGCAGCCTCTGCTCACAGTGAGCCTGCTTCATTGTAGCCTCCCCAATCCCCCTGCCTGGCAGCAGCACGTGGGCGGTGGGGGAATGACTGGCAGCACAATGGAGACAGTGCTAGGTGGAAACAGCTTTTAAGCCAGTTCCCCCCAATACCATCTCCTGTTTTTCCTCGCTTGCTGCCTCTGATACAGGCAGCAAGTGGAGGGGGGAATGTGAGTGGTCGACTCAACTACCTGATAAACCTAGGTTTATCGGGTAATCGACTACTTGACTGGTCGCTTTCATCCCTAATTTTTATGCCAAGTTTGTGCATGTGATTATAGTGGCAGTGCACAAAATAGGAATTTGCATATAAAAATGAACAGTTGTATGGGTAAAAAAACAAGGACACACATAACAATGGTAATCAGATGTGCAGATATGCAATTCAACAGTTTGAAAATCAGTTTAATTCAGCTTTCCATCTCTTCAGGTTTGTCCTTTCCAGTATATTCTTCACCATTTTCTTCACTTAAGATCTGTGCGTCTCAACAGATGGTTGGTGTAGTTTACCTGACCAGCAAAGACAAGAATTTTTTGTTATAGCTTATCTCCAGGGACTGGATATGAATATCTCTATTGGTACCTTGCTTCTTGAATTAGTACATGTAGCCAGTGAAGCTGCTGTCCTTTCTCCACAGCAGTCCACCACTCGCCACTGGTGAATTTTAAATCAAAATGTTTGCTGTGTGATGATCACTTGGCCACTTAGAAATCTAGGGAGCAGGAATTGAAACCCCATTTTCCCTTTTCCCCCAACATCTAGTTGAGAGGAGGGGAAAATAAGACTGTGGCTGACAGTCTGTGTTACCTGATCTCCTCCTTAAGGTGAAATCTAGCGATATTAAATGTGTGAAATTTTCAATTGAGATGATGTTGGTAAAATCTGTGTCTTTCTTTAGGTTCTCTTGCATGACATTAAAAGACTTTAACTTGACAACTAAACAGCCTCTCTGCCATTTCACACAAAGGAAGCCGTTTCTTCCATCCACAGTAATAAGTAATACAGGTAAATGTAATGTTTGTCATAAAGTACAGCTCTCATGATATTTGCCTCAAGAAGATGGTGAAAGAAGAAACTCTTCTTTGAGAAGAAACCTCAAATGTATGCTGTATTCTGCGTGGTATTTTATTAATGGAGAGGTAGTTAAGTCATGCAGTCAGATTTTAAATGTATTCCAGATGTTAGTTGCTATATGACATTGGATAAGGCAACAAAACACTGTGCCTCAGTTACCTTATGTGTATAATAATGGAGATATTTCATCTCATTGCCAATGTTTGTAAAGAGCTTTGATTAAATAAAGCACTATATTTGTGCTTTGATATCTTAAGGCCTTCTTAATATAATTTCACTGAGAGCTCCTGCTGACCTATTCAAAAGACTGGAACTGCTGACCATACCAAGATATAGTCTTTCAAGAGTGGAGTTAGGGCCTTTACTTTTTAGAGTCTGTGATTTTTGCAGTCTGCTTCTGAATATATCCTTCTATAGGTCCCTGGCCATCTTCAGGGAGAAATTTTGAAGTTTTTTTAAAATTCTGAGCTATACGATTTATTGTAGGTGTTGAGGAGATTTGAGACTTGGAAGTGATCTGTTGTCCTGTCTGTCCGTTAGTTAGGCCAATACTCTTTTAATTTGCCTAATACTGTATTCAGGCACTGTAGAATTAAAATGGACTGAAATTTCTATTTTTCAGCTTTTAGTATTCAACTAAAAATCTATCTATATTATTTAAAAAAGTTTTTCCTGCAGGACAAGAGTGAGGTCATCACGTCACTCTGCGTCCCACAGCCCCTTCCCCCTCAGCCGCCCTGCCTCCTCCCAGCTGCTAACTCAGCAGGGATCATAGAACCATAGAGCTGGAAGAGATCTCAGAAGGTCATCAAGTCCAGCTCCCTGCCCTATGCAGGACCAATCCCAACTAAATCAACCCAGCCAGGGCTTTGTCAAGCTGAGACTTAACTCTTTAAGTTTATTAATCAGCAACTCTTGGCTCCCAAGGAACAGCACTGAAGATAATCTGCAGCTGCTGCTGGGCTTCTGGGGGGGCGGGGAAGAGGAGGAAAATTGCAAGGGGGCAGGGGACTGGCAGATAGGCCCTCTGTAAGGGGGGGGCTAAAAAAGTTGGAGGAGGGGGCTGGTGGCAAGGCTCAGGTCAGGAGGGCAGCTGGAGTGGCCCGCTGTCCGTGGGGGGTGCAGGTGGAGGGTGGAAACTTGGTCAACCCCCTCCACCCACCCCTCTCCCAGCGGCTGGAGGGAGATATCCAGGCCAGCTTCTGTCTGGCAGCCAGATGGGGGAGAGCTGGGCCAGCAGCAGCCTCAGTCCAGCCCAAGCCCCTCATGCCCAGCAGCCAGAGGGAGGGAGGGAGCTGGGCCAGCCTCGGTGCAGCCCAACACCCTTCCCCTCCCCCCCCCCTGCTGGTGACGGGTGGGAGAGAGCTGAGCCAACCATGGCCTCAGTCCGGCCCAGCCTCCCTCTTCTCCCCCAGTGACCAGAGGGAGGGAGCTGGACCAGACTAGGTTTGCCCCCCTATTGGCAGGGGGAGAGGGGAGAGCTGGGGCAGGCCAGGGTTACCACGCCTCAGCCTGGCCCTCCTCAGTGGCTGGGGGCAGAGCCGGGGCTGCCTACCCCTCGAGATGGGGGTTGGTGAGCATAGTGAGCAGGGGGCGCTGCCCCCTAGTTAACTTATATTAATAAACTTAAAAGACAACAAATAGTCTGGTAGCACTTTATAGATTAACAAAACATGTAGGTGGTATCATGAGCTTTCGTGGGCACAGCCCAACTCCTGTTATCTGAAGAAGTGTGCGGTGCCCATGAAAGCTAATGATACCATCTACATGTTAGTCTTTAAAGTGCTACCAGACTCTTTGTTGTTTTTTAAGTTTATACTGTACAGACTAATTTGGTTACCCCCTATAGCCTCTTACATTAGTTTGTCTGAAAAACACTTCACTATAGAGTCACATTTGAGGTAGCTTCCTTTGCCATTCTAATCAGGGCAATGTTCCCACCTCTTGTGGGTGGAGTTGTGAGATAAATCAGAGGGGCTGCTTCTAAACTGGCAAGATTTTGCTGCCTGTCTACACTGGCCGCGAGTATTTGCACAAGAACACTGACTTTGTACTGTACAAAATCAATGGTTCTTGCACAAATACTCCGACGCTCCCGCTCAGGGATAAGCCCTCTTGTGCAAGTATTCTTGTGCAAGAGGGCCAATGTAGACAGCCAAGTTAATTTCTTGCGCAAGAAAGCCCGATGGCTAAAATGGCTATCGGAGCTTTCTTGCGCAAGAGAGCGTCTACACTGGCACGGATGCTTTTGCGCAAAAGATGGCTTTTGCGCAAAAGCATCCATGCCAGTATAGACGCTCTCTTGTGCAAATACTTTTTACGGAAAAACTTTTCCGGTAAAAGTATTTGTGCAAAATCATGCCAGTCTAGACACAGCCAGGATGTATTTTAGTTGCTATCTCAGGACTATTTCTAGCATGATAGTACAGAGCATCCCGATTTTAATTCTTTTATTCTTTCTCTGAAAACTTAAGAATTTTCATGGGTGGTGATAGTGTGGGTTAAAATCAGATACGTTGTTGCCAGGACAGATACCTGCAGTGGAAATTTGGCAATTTATAGTTTGATTTGTCATCTAATACTAGGTGTCGTGATCAAAATTGCTTTTTAGGAAGTGAAAGCTTCCATTATTTTGTTGTTCCTTTAAACAGGGCCCCCCTTTTGCCTAGACCTGGTCCACACAGAATTTACTAGCTGGGCCTCCCAGGCTCTGGTGTACAAGGGAAATGTGGGGAGTGCCTTTCTGCTTCTGTCAGGGCTGTTCCCCACTCTGGCATTGAGTGCAGAAGATGGGGGGTCTGCAAAGAGCTGAAAAGAAAAAGAACCCTTCGCCTCTACAGACACTGGTTATCAAAAACTTCCCCCCAAGATCACAAGGAGGGTGATGATGCTGGAGTGGTGACCCCCTTTCTGCTTCTGTCAGGGCTGTTCCCCACTCTGGCATTGAGTGCAGAAGATGGGGGGTCTGCAAAGAGCTGAAAAGAAAAAGAACCCTTCGCCTCTACAGACACTGGTTATCAAAAACTTCCCCCCAAGATCACAAGGAGGGTGATGATGCTGGAGTGGTGACCCCACAGAATGCTCAGATACCAAAGTGGTGAGCATGGAATAACAACCTGAATAGAATAGAGATGAGGCACAAATCTTCATGGGGATGTTAAGAGAGCCTCTGAAAGAGGATGGGGGGCAATATTGACTCCATTCAGACTGACACAGAGAATGTGAGTAGCAAGTTGCTTAGAGAATAAAACTGAGTTTAGAATTAGCTGTGGCAGCATTTCATTGACCTTTTCATCTGTATCCCAAATTTAGTGACTGTTTTTTTGATCTTCATGTCAATATGGGTATTTTAATGGAATTAACTGAATTATGTTTTTTAATACATTTGTGTTGTGCAAACAATTTTGCCTGGCTAAATAAACCGAATCTCTATTGTTCCTTATTTGAGCCACTACTCTTTTGAATATTCTTTCTTTCTATCTTTCTCTTTTCAGTAAGATGCATGTTTATTCAGACTCAGGATACTCCAAATCCGAATAGTTTGAAGTTTATTCCAGGAAGACAAGTGCTAGAATCAAGAACCATGGATTTCTCCACACCAGCTGCAGCATTTTGCTCACCGTTAGCGAGGTGTGTTAAAGTATTACATACTTTGTTCAAGGGACTGCACGTGTTAGTTACTAAAACAAATGTATATACAAGATGTCATATTAAATGCAGTTGAATGTTAGAATGGATTAATTGCATTTCCATTGTGGATGCTTCTTTTTCTCATAAAGTAGATTGAGTACCTAGAGATGGCCAAAGTAATTTCTCAAGTTATTTATACTGTGCATGTCAGTGTAATAACTAAGTTCCTGGTAATCTATTTAATTGTTCTGAATCAAACTGTGATAGAAATCATTATTTCTGAAAAGGAAATATATCATTGTGTGCCAGATCCTAGAAAACTTTACTCATGTGAATAGTCTTACGCTAGTAGTTACATTAAAGTCACGCCGTCTCCCTGTGTATTGAGACAGGCAAGCTAAGAAAGTGTCCATAAACATTGCATGTGAAACTGAAATAGTTTTGTAATTTTGGCAAATACGACTCTGACACTGTTAACCTTAGCTTTGAAGCCATTGGGATTTTTCTTCACTTAAAACATGGGTGTTCATAAACAGTACAATGCAAAAATTAAAATTACTTAAGTTTGTAAACAAACCCTTTTTCTCGTCTTACTCATGTATAATCTTTTGAAAAAGTGCTCAATGCTGTAGATGACATGATCTAGAATGTATATATTCCATCTTGTCCCCTATACTGTTTAATATCTACATGAAGCCGCTGGGAGAGGTCATAAGGAGTTTTGGAGGATGGTGCCATCAATATGCAGATGACACCCAACTCTGTTTCCCTGTGTCATTAGAACCAGGTGTGGCAGTGACTGATCTAAATTGGTGTCTGGAGGCAGTAATGGTTTGGATGAAGTCAAATAAGCTGAAGTTGAACCCAGATAAGACTGAGATCCTGTGGATCAGGAGGCCATCTGTTCGTGAATGTGGCATGGAACCTGTTCTAGATGGGGTTACTCTCCCCCTGAAAGAACAGGTACGCAGTGTGGGAGTCCTCCTGGACTCTTTTTTAACATTTGAAAATCAGATTTCTTCGGTGGCCAGGAGTGCCATTGGGCAACTTTGTTTGATCTACCAGTTGTGACCCTTACTGAACAAGCATGACTTGGCCACAGTGATCCATGCTCTTGTTACATCCCGACTGGATTGCTGTAATGCACTTTATGTGGGGCTGCCTCTAAAGAGTCTTCGGAAACTTCAGATGGTCCAGAATGCGGCTGTTCGAGTTTTAACTAACACTAGTTATATGGAGCACATTATGCCAGTGCTTTGGTAGCTGCACTGGCTTCCGGTATGTTTCTGGGCACAATTTAAGGTTCTAGTTATGACCTGTAAAGCCTTAAATGAGTTGGGTCCGGGGTATCTGAAGGACCGTCTTCTCCCATATGAACCTGCCTGGAGATTGAGGTCAGCTGGGGAGGCTTTGCTTCGTGTTCCCCCACTTGTGGAGATAAGATTAACATCTACGCGGAACAGGGTTCTCAGCTTTTGCTCCCAGGCTGTGGAATTCTCTTCCTCGGGATATTCGCATGGCGCCAACGCTAGCGTTGTTTCGGCGTCAGGCTAAAGCCACCCTTTTTAGTTGTGCTTTTATTAATGTTTGAGTCTGTATGTGTGTGTTCCACCTCTCTATATGTTTTTAGCTGGTTATGTCCCTCTGGGGTCTCATTTTAAATTTTTATGTATATTTGGGTTTTTTTTTGTAAGCCACCTTGAATATTTTAAATAGAAAGGCGGGGAGGTAAAAATATATATATAAATATATAAATATAGTGAAACTATTTGAACTAATACATTTTAGTCCACTTCAACTATGGATCATCACTACAGTTTATTTCTCAATCTGACACTTTGCTGTATTTTCATTGGGTTAAAAAGGGACAGAACAGCATCAAAGGGCTGTCTGAAAGTGGGGGTTGAGATGGGATAGAACCTTGGGAGTGCGTTGCCTGCTGCTGAGATGCATTGGAGAACTGTTGCCAACTTGCTTTCTGGGATTAGGGAGTGTGAGCATTGCCTTTGGAACCTGCCACTGCATCAATAGCAGCCTCTGGAGATAATGTTCCTTACAGCTGCTATGAATGTGGGTGGAAAGGCTTCAGTAAGAGGGTGAGATGTGGTAATGCTATAATGCACCTTCCTAAGATCAGAGTTTAATTTGCAGCCTAATGCGATCCTCTCTCTGGGAAATGTAGCCTTATCCAATGTATTGCTATAATCTCTCCAAAATGCTATAATTGATTTGTAACCAACCAAACAAGAACTTTCAAATGAACCTCTTTACTCTAATACAAATGTCCACATGTATAGAACAGCACATGTTATGTTAAAAATATGTCCATGCATACACTTAAGGACAGAGATAGGGTCCAGAATGACTTAGACAAATTGGAGGATTGGGCCACAAGAAATCTGATGAGGTTCAACAAGGACAAGTGTAGAGTCCTGCACTTGGGACGGAAGAATCCCAAGCATAGTTACAAGCTGGGGACCAACCGGTTAAGTAGTAGTTCTGCAGAAAAGGACCTGGGGGTTACAGTGGATGAGAAGCTGGATATGAGTCAACAGTGGGCCCTTGTAGCCAAAAAGGCTAATGGCATATTAGGTTGCATTAAGAGGAGCATTGCCAGCAGATCCAGAGATGTCATTATTCTCCTTTATTCAGCTTTGGTGAGGCCACATCTGGAGTATTGTGTTCAGTTCTGGGCCCCCCCACTACAAAAAGGATGTGGATGCATTGGAGAGGGTCCAGCGGAGGGCAACCAAAATGATTAGGGGGCTAGAGCATATGACTTATGAGGAGAGGCTGAGGAACTTGGGTCTGTTTAGTCTGCAGAAGCGAAGAGTGAGGGGGGATTTGATAGCAGCCTTCAACTTCCTGAAGGGAGGTTCCAAAGAGGCTGGAGAGAGGCTGTTCTCAGTAGTGACAGATGGCAGAACAAGGAGCAATG